CCTCTGGAGAAAATAACCGTTTTTGGATTTTCTGCTAGTTGTGAGTTTAATGCTGTTGGTCCAAGCGTTTGAATTTTGTTTTAATGGGTTTCAATCCCATAAATATGTGTTAACATCTGGCATTCCGCGTGGGTTCAATTTAGGTCCGTTAGGATTTAATTTATTTATAAATGATATTGTAACATTACAGCTGCAATACACTTGTTTGCGCAGAAGACGTCAATCTGTTCAATAGATCTGAAGTTATGTTTCATCTACAAATAAACTTAAATCGTTCAACAATTTCAATTATATAAATAAACTTGCACTGAATTCGGAGAAATGCTAGATTGTGTGGTTTACTAATGAATTTCTCCGAAATCAATAACGGAAGTGAGGTGTATTTTTGTATTATTTCCAGAGAGTGCATTATCAAGACTCTGCATATTATGATTTTGACGTCATAACTGCGCTTAAGTTGGGCGTCTTCTTTTATTCTTTAAAATTGATGAAAGTGGTCTTGACTAACATGATGAGACTGTTCCAGAAATTTATAATTTATGTTTTCTAGAAGATGGGTACTTGATACTTTGTTAACATTTAGCAGTATCTTTAATTCCACCTTTAAGTGCAATTATTATGAACTTTTGGTTTGATTTGTTTGTGTTAGGAGAAGAGCTTCTTTGATGCGTCTTTTTATTAGTATGATGTCAGGTCTGCGAGTGCTTTTCTGCCCCAGTGTAATTTGTAGCTATTGTTTTCAACGAGTGGCTATTAAATTTAATTAACACTCTGCTGAAAAATCCAATAAAGTTTAAGTGGAATAAAAGGTGATATCTTGAACTGGTTCTTTGTGAACTATCTTAACTGCGTTGTTGAGTCGGCTACAAGCCGGAATGATGTCCTGAATTGCTTCGTTTATTTATAAATTAACAACAACTTCTGTTTTGGATAGAAACGTGATATTTTCAACTAATTCGACACATTTTGTGTTGATGTTGTCTTCGGCCTTGTTCTTGAAGAATTTATCTTGCAACTGCTTTTGGTTCAGCGCAGCGCAATGCATTTCGAGCTTTTGATAACCTATGATTTAAATCTAATTACTCGTGCCTTTTTTTCTTCTCTTGTGACGAAAACACTTTTTTGAATCTTTTTTGGCAATGATAATCACGTATGAATGACTTTGGGTGGTTTTTGACTGTCTAGTTCAACAAAGTTTCAGTCTTCTCAGGTATTATTCTTGGAATTTAATTTAGGCGCAGTAAACGTGAAAAAGTTAGCGAAAATCCTGATACTTGTGCGCCCTTTAATAATTTCACCATTCTGTGGTCCATGGGCAAAGAATACCATGCACTTGCAGACAATCCAGATTAAGTCCAGATGACTTAAGCTATTCTCTTGCATGTAGAACTTTTTTCTAGTCAATTGGAAGAGACTTTTTATACTGTCCATATATGATTGAGTCCATTATTTACTATGTATTCTTTACAAATTTTAATTTTGCATATATTGTGCCACGTGCCAAAATAATTGGAATGGTGAATGGATTTTTGATAAATTTTTTCATTTAAAAATTGTGAATTTTATTTGGTACTGAAAACTTGAAGCTTGGTATAGATTTAAAGAAAGTAAAATCAATATAGTCAAGTAGTACTCAGATTATAAATTGCAAATTGACCTCACTTTAGGTTAGCAGAGGTCAAAACTGGAAACTAATGTCAGCTATAGTTGAAGACCCATTCAACTCAACTTTTATAACTAAAGTTTGTTATGCGTAATTTGTAAGCGAAAAAGAAGATTAGAAATACATGTAGTCACCACAAAATGTCACTGTTAGTTTTGAAAATTCAACTTGTCAAAAATGCACAGATATTTAAAGAATGATCTGTCAAAGTTTAGTTTAGGACTAAACTCAAAAACGAAATTTCGTAGAGAAGTTACTTAGGGGATATCTGTATAAATGTGGGGTCAGTTATATAACGCACATTTAATTAGTTCGTTGTTTAGCGTTGACTAAACACAACTAAACCTACATAAAATGATAATTAAGCAAAACAGAAATTATTCATAATCCAAGTTGGTTATTTTTCTAACAAAAGCAATTTTTAATAATGGAAAACCTTCGTTTTTAATTACTGTCGTCCTACGCATACGTTTCGACATACTGCAAGTTATTTGGATATAAATAGATACATAACTATATTCTATCACAAATTTTCCACACCTATAAATTACTATTTTTCTCTTTATGCTTTGTCTCTAGCGATTTTACTAATTTTTTGTATGAATATTCGTATTACTTTTTCTTTAATCACCTGTAATTATCAGTAAACTGTGTAAGTGCGTTATTACAAATAAAACAAAATATCGTTAAATTAAAGAAACATTTTTAAACTGTATTTACGAATTAATTTAAGAGAAAATACTGTGGTGATGAAATATGTTTTGTGTTACAGTTTGCTACTGATACCGGGTGTCCCAATTTAACATTCGACTGTAATCATCTCACGTTATTTTAAAAGGCTGAACTTAAAAAAATTAAAACAACTAGTGTAACACAAACGAAATCTGTAAGCTGAAAATTATAGCGATTTTATACCGTTTTTATGAGTCACTTAAAAAGTACTACCTACATCATTGAAAAAATAAGAAGTGTATTTAATATGTACAATAAAAAGTTATACAATCACGAGAAACTCTGCCTAAAAAATTTGTGTATTTAATTTAGTCCTTGCGTTAAATTTTTCAGTTTCTTCAAATACTGAGATATTACAGTAGAGTAGAGTGTTTAATAGACATCTCAAGTAGCCTTCAGCTACCTTGGATGGTGGCAGTTAAATCGGCACCTGTATCAACTAGTAATGTGATTGATATTCGCTAGAAAACAATGGCCGCTGTATTTTTTCCATTTGACAAATCTCAACAAATAAATAACTACAACAAGAGTTTCTTAGATACATTATTATTAAAGTTATTCTAAAAATTTATTTTTTTTTATGTAAGGTTTACTTTGCAAATTTTTGAAAAATTTTGGTTAGCAGTTAAAATTTTAGACCAATTGTTTTACAAATTTCTAAGATAAATTATAAAATATGTGCATATATTTAATGATATAATAACAGAATAAAATATAATACTGTTCCTACAACACAATAAATACAAAAATAGCCAGTACTATGTAATAATGATATGGTTATAGCCAATTAATTAATTATATCAGTGAGGCTGTATGGTTCACGGTTTACAAGATAGCGATAATGACTTTCTCTAATTGTTTTAACATTTATCATAAATTTTATTTTGTTTGGCAAATGACTGCATATTTTAAGTGTTGAATAAAACAAATTTATTTCCCTTGTAGACTGTCTATGTCTATCTGGCTTTATACCGCGTGATCAGAAATTACTGAGTCTGTAGGCAGCACTTTTTAAGCAAAAATGTGAACTTTTCTTGAGTTTATGTTGGCATAACGGAACTAATTGTGTGACAGATGTCAGTCGTAACAATTTTGCAATTTAAAAATGTCAACAATCTGCCAATCTTGACAGCTGATAACCGGAAGTTATAGAAAATATCATGATACCAATTTCAACCAAAAATCCAGGATTGCCAACAGACTCAACCATTTCTGATCACGCGGTATTTAAACTCAGCAAATGATACCTCTCATATGGCAATGTTCTTACTGATAGAATTCCTGCGTGTCTAAAATATGTAACTTCTACATGAGTCTACGTCTGTTAACCGAAATTATATATTTTCTAAAATGTAGCTACAGTCTATAAAATGTCTAATCACCTTGTATCAAATAATGGTCAGATGCAACGAGCTTCTTTGCAAACCTCTCGAAGGCTAAATACCATCACGTACGAAGCTGGCACATTTTCAGAACCGCCTTTGCACTTTTTTCCTACTGGGTACCATAAATACTATAATAGGGCGGCCATATAAATGACGTCTACTCCGATTTACTGCACACAATGTTGTGTTTTAATACTATGAAGCCGAAACATGTATAAGTAGATGTTAGAATTTTTTGATAATCTGAAAACGACAATTAGGATCACAAGTAACCCCAAATCTTTGATAACATCTGGTTTTTCTAAAACCACATCTTATTTTTAATAAGGGTATCGAAAACCATTCACTTTTCCTGTAAATGACATCACGTAACATTTACTTTTATTAATATTAACCTGATTGGATGTGCACCAGTTGAGAATAAGGTTTAGAGTACTGTGCAGTTGGTCACAATATATTTCCTGATTGACTTCCGTAGAGATCAGCCCATAACAAGTTTTTCACAGAAGAAACATCAGTGATATCATTTATATAAAATCCAAAGAGAAGTAGCCCCAGGAGGGACCCTTAAGGCATATCAAATGAGTGTTGTAAAGTTTTTGAAGTGTAGCTCAAGAAGATCAACAAAAGACAATTTATTATTTAAATATGATTTAAATAATGAAATAGAAACCGAAAAACCAACTAAAAAAGAAAGCCTAATCATGATGAATTTTTCATTCGTTGTCGGTCCAAAAGGCAAAATTCATATTTTTCTACAAAAATGTAATGTAATTTCAAACATGTTTTATGTTTCTCGTTGTGACAAAAAGATTGCGCATACTAAAAAAAAAGGCAGAATCTAAGCCCCGCCCACCCGCCCTGTCTCAATTGTGGTGATTTTTTTATTCGTCGTGAACCAAGGGGGCGGAGCTTAATTGCAAAATACTCACTTCTCTACAAGAAATTACCGTGCAAAGTATATTTTGTTGTTATTGACATAGTAGGGGATGGGATATTGCATAGTCTCTTTTTCTCAAAATCGTCTGTTTTCAACAATATGATAATACTTAAAACATATTTTGGAGAAAAATTCATCACAACTGCGATCAGGGCGGGTTGGTCCCTACCTATTTTATCTTTGTTCTCTTTTCTTAATATATATAAGTAATTTTCTATTTACGACAAGAAACTGAAAACATGTTTAAAATGGTAAATTTGTAGAGATGTGTGGGGGATAAAATTTACCAATCTAAACATGTTTTCAGTCTCTTGTTGTGAAGAGTGTGTATTTAAAAACAAAAGGGCAAATCATAAGCCCTACCCACTCGCCCTGCCTCAGTTGCGACGATTTTTCTTTGTTCGTCGCGAGCAAGGGGGGGGAGCTTAATAGCATAATCCTTATGTTACGAAAAATTACCAGTGAAATATGTTCTTAAGTAATTGTGTTTTTCAAAGAAAGCTAAGTACTACGTAAAGTACTAAGTAAAAGAAAGCCCCACCCATGTCTCGATCTCAGTCATGATGAGTTTTTCATTCGTTGTCGGTCCGAAAGGCGGAGCGTGCTGCAAAATTCATATTCGTACAAAAATGTACCATTGTAAACATGTTTTGAGTTTGTCGTTGGGCCAAGAAGACTACGTATATTAAGAAAAAAAGGCAAAATGTAATGAGGAGAATCGCGTGATTAATATTGTCAAACGCCTTTGAAAAATCGAAATATATAACGTTCACCTGCCTACCTCTATCTTAGCAGATATAAATTTGGTTTTACACAAAAGTAACAGTAGACCTCTTAGTTGTAAAACTGTGTTGAGCATCACTTCAGAAATTAAAAGTGTGAAAATAAAGTCAATTCACAATTTTTGACAAATTTTCGTCTAGTCAGATTACCGTCGATTTTTAAGTTTGAGTTGAAAATGCGACGATCAAAGACAAATTTTCACAAATTCATGGCTGTTTGTGATCGTATTTTTATCGCTCTCTCAGCAAAAAATCAGTATTATTATAAATATAGGAATATGGTTTACAACCTACCTCAAAGTATCTTATGCACAGTTGGAATAGTGATCCAAATAAGATTGACAAAAACCATTCAAGTGGTCGAAGAAAAATGTTGCTTAGTCTAGAAACAAATACACACCAAGACCTTACATGCCTAAGATTGGCTCATTTAAGCCTTTGGGTGCTAAATAAATCAACGAATATGTCCTCAACGATTAGTCAAAAGAAATTTCCACACGATAGCAGACTTGATTAGCCCCGTCCTTTGCCTCCTATCATTATCAATCACTCCACCATTTTTATCCATCAAATCTAATAAAAAAAGCAAGTTCATTGACAAATCGTACGTCAACAATCAAACCTAGATTATAACATAATCTGCGTATCGTCCGCCACAAGCCAAAACAATCGCCCTCCGCGCATCACCCTACCAAACCGCCCGAAAACCGCGCCACCTTTGACCCCTGACCCGAAAAGCCCCGCTGGACCCATCCAGCTGCCAACCGCTGCCCACCAGCATTCCGCGGAAAACCGCATCTTCGCGACCGGAACAAAGACCGCCCGCATCGACCCCTCTCGGGTCAAGCGTTATCGGCCCAAAGCCTTATATAAACGCGCGCCGCGGCCCCGGCCAGTGCCGAACATGAGCACAGTGCGACCGGCGGGAAACCCGACGCAAGTAAGCATCCCGCGCACGCAAAGGATGGGTCCCCGTGCGGCGCCTTGCGGTACGCCATTCGCTGACCCGGCGTTTTTTCGCAGTGAGGACCTTCGAGAGCATGGCGAGCACCGCGCGGCTGCTGGTGAGGGCCCTGCGGATCTACTGGAAGGCCATCTTCGTGGTGGTCTACCCCCTGGTGCTGCTGCCGGTGTTCCTGCACGACAATGTGGCGGCGCTGCGCTGCCTCTACGTGGTGCTGCTGATGGCGGGCTACTGGGTGTTCGAGGCGCTGCCGCTGCCCGTCACCTCGCTCATCCCGATGGTGCTGTTCCCGCTGATGGGCATCCTGGACTCGGACAAGACGTCGCTGTGCTACCTGAAGGAGACCAACATGATGTTCGTCGGGGGGCTGGTGATCGCCATCGCTGTGGAGTACTGCAATCTGCACACCAGGGTGGCGTTGTATGTTATACAGTTGGTGAGTGAACATTTCACGACTTTTAATTTATTTAAGATTATAAAATTTAAGAAAACGAAAATTTTTATTGTTGCTGGGTTAAAATAGTTGTCGGGTTGGTTGAACGGTTCTAGACTATGAGTCGTCAAGATATGTTAATTTGTAGGAAATGGCTCGATTAATTTGTTATGGGGCGGTTATCACTAAATGGATAATTTCGTTAGTGATAGGCGCAATTTGCTTATTTGTCTAATTTGGAGAAAATTGATTTTAAAGTGGATGCTTAAGGCGGAATTGTGATTAATGTTACCGATATTTTTAAAAAAGTAAAAAACCTGTCTAATAATTTTAAAATGCATATTAACATAAGATGTTCTTCAGACGAGATGACGTTTAATTTGGTCTGGAATTCTCGATGGAAATTCTGAATAATAATTTTTATTATAAACAATTCTGTGACTTACAATTTAACATAGAGAAAAATATACAAAGTGATAATTACTACAATTTAAAATATCACCAATCATTATTTCTATGATAATGCATATAGCTTAAAACTGAAAACTTAAGGCTGTTGCTACGACGAACCGGATTAAATTTTCTGATATGACGTCATCAAGTTTTTAAAGGGAGGCATAATTAAAATTTTATTAATGTCTATAACCACTTGCTCAATGTTACGAATAGTTAGTCTACTAGATTTTAAAGGTTTTGTATTGTATTTAGAAATTATGTATGCAATTTCTTAAATAAAAATATAGGAGCTGGATTATTAGACCACACAGCGAATAATAATTAGTACAACTGTGTTTCCAGAATTTTGGAAAAATTAGATACGTCGCTTCAGATTTAATTCATGATAATGGGTTTACTTATTTTTTGGCACATCTTGTCTAAGCAAAAAACATAGGTATTATCGAAGTACAAACAAATCTATCACAGATGACGAATAAATAAATTTTAATCGATGTTCGGTAATCATTAAGTTTGTTCATTAAGGTTGTGTTGTTTTACCAGTGTTACCATGTTGGTCTCACTGGTAAAAAATTAATAGGGATTTAAAAAATTAAAGTGGCAACAATGTAATGATAATTATTGACAACTTTGACGGGTAGCAAAATAAACCTGCAAACAATGTTTACTAACTAGATGCGAAAAAAAATTTACGAAATATTCATTTAATTTTTGCCGACTTGGAATATGATGCCATTTTTACTATCACTCTTATCGAGGTTATAAATAGAATTATTATAAATGTTTGCTCATGGCAGTTGGCTGTGTATTAAGCGCTTCATTCTGATGATGAAGTTTATTAGTTAGTTATCAAATATGCCAATTGTCAGTGGGATTGAATACGACTCACTATGAATACCGAGATTAATGTTCGCGATTTTTGTCGGTTGGCAACATAGTTAAAATTGTATGATGGTATACCTGATTGTCAAGTTGACACTTTTCAGTGTTCATATCAAAATTGACAACTGCTGAATCCAGAATTGCCAACACACAGTCATTATAGTCACCGGATATCTACAATCAGTAATATCTTATAGAAAAAAAAAAAAAACAAAAAAAAACACATCATACGAAATCACGAAATAGTCCCTACATTTTAAATTTTAATATCAGTTCAAAGATAAAGGTATAAAATATTTTCAAAACTATAGTTATAGTTACTAAATATACGCGAAAAAGTATACCATCCGCGCGAAATTTGAAATTTCAAAATGAATCTATTTTTTGTAGGGTGTTTCGTTTAGGAGCCATAACTTTACGATACGAAAATGAATTCCTGGCTTCGAGTCGATGTTTTTTGCTACAAAAATGTCTCTTAATAATAGAAAACGGTGTCTATTGTGTCTATTATATCTGTGTATTCTCCTGAAAATTGTTTGAAATAGCTCCTAGAACATTTATTCTGCTGTTCCCGCTGACGTTGCTTTTAGAGCTAAAAATTGTTATTTATAAACTTCGCTGCCAAGTTGCCGTTGACAGTAACTTTGATGTTCAACTTTTCCCATATTTAAAGGGGTTGTAGAAGAAAAGTGGAGAATTTAAGTTGATTATTACAAAAATTTACCATTTTAGACATGTTTTAAGTTTCTTGTTGTCGAAATAAGTCTGCACATATTAAGAAAAAAAGACAAAGTGTAGCCCCGCCCACCCGCCCCATTTCATTTGTGACGATTTTTTTTTAATTCGTCGTGAGCCAAGAAGGCGGAGCTTAACTGCAAAATCTTTATTTCTCTACGAGAAATTAAAACATGTTTTGGAATATCATGTTATTCAAAGAATACTAACATATACATATTAAAAAAAGATTAAAGCCAAATATTAAGCCCCACCCATATAAATAGTAATGAAGTTTTCATTCGTTGGCAGACCTAGGGGCAGCAGAGCTTAATTGAAAAATCTATGTTTCTTTAGAAAAATTTACCATTTTAAACATGTTTTAAGTTTCTAAGAGAAAAAAAAGTATCACAATTGAGATGGGGTGGGTGGGCGGTCTTACATTTTGCCTTTTTGTTTTAATATGTGTAGACTTCTTTTCACAACATGAAACTTAAAACGTGTTTAAAATGGAAAATTTGTATAAGCTCCGCCTCATAATTGCAAAATCATTTCCTTGCAAAAATGTACCATTTTAACCATTTTCTAAGTTTCTTGTTGTGAAAAGATGGCTGTGTATATTAAAAAAAAAAAGCAAAATATAAGCGCCGCCCACCCGCCCTGTCTCAATTGTGATGATTTTTTTTATTCGCGTAAGCCGAGGGACGGAGCTTAATTACAATGAAAATCTAGAATGTCATTTTTTCTAAATATTGCATTATTTTATTATCTAAATTGCTTGAAATCGTTATTCGTTGCCTCGAATATAGAAGTTCTGTTTCAAGTGAAACCTACAGACATAAATTTCACTATTTTGACCCTTAGTATAAGTCACTTTTGCGATATGCGGCACAATTATGATTTAACCTACTTTTAACGTAAACGACGGCAAATGCAAATGATCACTCTATTTTTGACTACCAACATGTTTGCTAAAATTTTAAAAAATAGATATTTGCTCTCCAATTAATTTTCATTGTTTTCAAGGTCGGCTGCAGCCCGCGCCGCCTCAATTTTGGTCTCGTCACGGTCACCATGTTCGTCTCAATGTGGATTTCCAATACAGCCGCCACCGCCATGATGATACCAATAATAGAGGCAACACTCAAAGAACTCGAAACACAAGGTATAGGGGAAATGTACGAATCCATTCCAGTCGACGATAACGACAAAATCGAAAGCGCCCCACAGCCAGACCCTGAACACAAGAGACCCACAAAAACCACCATGTGTTATTTCATAAGCACGGCATATGCAGCAAGTATAGGTGGGATGGGGTGTATCGTGGGCAGTGGCACCAACTTAACATTCAAAGGGATCTACGAGACGAGGTTCCCGGACAGTCCTGGAGTTGGTACGTATCAATCGTTGACCATACCTTTTCCCAGCCATTTACCGTTGGCATCATGAAATCCAAATCTTTCTTTTTAAGAGTTCGCCAAATGGATCATGCTGAACGTCCCAATGATGGTAATAATGATGTACATTTCCCTCATGTGGTTGCAAATGATCTTCATGGGCCTCTTCCGACCCAATTCCAACGATGCAAAGAAGATCAGAGTTGGTACTCAGGGTGAAGCTGTTGCCCGCAAACTTATTCGTTCCAAAATCAACGAAATGGGACCGATGTCGTTCCACGAATGCGCAGTAGCTGCACTTTTCACCCTTTCTGTGCTTCTTTGGTTCTTCAGGAAACCCCAGTTCATAGCTGGATGGGCGGAAATGATCACCCAGCATAAAGTGAAAGACGCTACTGCAGCCCTCATTGTTGTTTTGCTCTTGTTTGTTGTACCAGCACGTCCAGATTTTATATACATTTTTAGTAAAGATGAGAGTAAGAGACCCAAGGTAGCATCGCCTGCTCTTATTACGTGGAAAGTGGTTCAGCAGAAACTACCATGGGGGTTGATTTTCCTGTTAGGTGGCGGGTTTGCGCTTGCTGAAGCCTCCAAAGAGAGTAAAATGAGTGAACTAATTGCTCACCATTTACATGGGATTGCGACCCTACCGAAGTTCGCTGTGATGGCGATATCGTGCATTTTTGCCACGGTTTTGACGCAGTTCTCGAGTAATGTGGCTGTGGCGAATGTCCTGCTTCCGGTACTGGCAGAAATGGCAAAAGTGAGTACATAATGGGCACCTTGTTAGAATTTACAGTCAAATAGTTGATACACCCTTTTGAGTTCCTTTTTCGTTTGCAGGTTGGCAAGGTGCACCCCCTTTACCTCATGCTGCCGACTTCACTGTGCTGTTCCTTCGCATACTGCCTTCCAGTCTCCACCCCCCCGAATGCCATAGCGGCAGCTCCATGCAACATGGCGTCAACCGAGATGGCGAAGGCCGGTTTAGGAGTGGCGATAATTTCCCTCCTAGTCTTATTTGCGATTTTCCCGACCTTGGGAGGGGTGATTTACACAGATTTGTCAAGTTATCCGGCATGGGTGGAGACGTAAAAGTACAAAAAAATTTTAAGACTGGTGACTTTTTATGGAGGGGGCTTGAAGGTCTTCTCAATTGGTATTGTTAAGTATCTCGGTTAGGGAAATTAAATCACGTCGCGTGGTATTATTTTTGGATTTGTGTTGACGTCACGGTGTAATTAACCCGGGATTGAACACGTAATTATTATTAATTTGTTCAATGACGATGTATTATATTTATAGTATGATTCTGATTATTTAATAAAATGTACATATTTTTTATTTGATTTATTTGATTCGTAGCGAAAATGTGACTCACTGATGTTAGCAGAGCATTCATTTCGAAGTTTAAAGTTGCACCATCTGCTGAAGAATTTTGGTAATCCACTAAGCGCATCAAAAACAAGATCAAATTTGATATATGGATGACCAAAAACACAGCTCTGCTCCAACAATTTTGGCTAAATTAGGCTGTTCTAATTAAAGGATGTAAGTACGATATATGAATTAGCACTTTGAAAAAAAAAAAAGAAATGAAAGCCAATAAAAAAAACAGTTTTTCTTCCCACGTGTAAACAAATTTAATAAACCGTGAAAAAAGTTAATTGCAGTACGACAAAAAATTTTAAATGTAGGCGGAGGAAATTTTGCAACGCAACATTCAATCACATTTTTTTTTATTGGAGTTAAAAAGCTTTCAGAAGTTCAGAAAGAAACAATTTTCTTCACAAAAATGAAGAAGAAAAATCATTATCCTCTCCATTTTCCCTAGATATGAATCTAAGGTATAATAAAACTTACAAATTGACGTCAATATAAAAGGGTAATAATTACAATGGTTATCAAAAGCCTCGCACCATTGCCGTATTGTGTGTCAGAACATCATAGGTGTAATCGAAAACTAAAGCAAATCAGCAGAACCATCTTCAACCAGAGTTAAAATCAAGAAAGTACCTACCTGTTATTCTTCTGTGCGATCTCCGTTTACTGTTTTTACGCATTTGATGTCTTGTTATTGGAATCTCCTTCTGTTTAAATGTGCTTCCCCACTTTACGCCAGTTGATTATCCGAAGATTCTTAGACTTAAAATGGTTCTGCAAGTAGAATGACATTTTTAAAGAAATGTCAGTTCAAAGGCTTCTATGTAGTTCTTTGACTAATGGCAAGTGAACACTTGAAGTTTAAGTTTTAATTGGAGACGGGTGATATGTCACTAGCGGTTATTATTTCGGCAATATCTGTTTTTAAATCAAAAATAAATCCCCAGAATGTAAGAACCACTTTCGGAAATTTGTAAATGTTAATTACCCAACATGTAATGCCCAAATTTACAGATAGTACCATTCAAACAGATAGTCACAGTCGACCATCAATCCTCAAATGTAAGAACAAATTTTGCATATTCGCAAATATCAAATATCATTGCGCTTGTCAGACGCTGCACACAATATGCGCAGAACCGCACGTCCACAAAAATCGCTAATCTTAATTATTTTCATTAGAATTCGGATACAATCTAAAACAGCTGCAGGTGAAACCCAGACACATATATCTCGAAAAAAACCGAAACTGCGAGTTAACATGACCGGAATTCTCAGAAATCCGTCAACCTAAAGATCAAGAAGAAATCCTATTCTTAGCGAAATTAGACCTTATAAAATCGTGAACTACGGTCTAAGACGCATGCTCGCAGAATCGTACGAGTATGTCATACCTTTTTATTACACTCTAATGTCACAGGAGACATCGTATTAAGTATTTACTTAATTTAGTCATTTTTATCGGTGGTTTTCGCTGCGTTTAGTGTGAACAGATAGCTTCGGAGTTGAAGAAATTTGTAGCGTTAACAAACAGATGTTCTCGTTTTCGAGTGATTACAAAAAAGTAAATGGATAATAACATTAATAACACTGAATAAAACCAAAAACTGCATGGGAGTTTCAAATCATAGATCACGGTTGCAGGATCAATGTCTGATCAAGGCGATCGAGCTCTTTTCAGTTTTTGACGTTAAGTTGCTACAAAATTCAGGAACTACATCCTCTCTGAGTAAGGGATGTTACACCTTGACAGCATCTTCCACGTTCTTCGTAGGCCGTCAAGCCGAAGGGTATGTTCATTCCACGAGGAAGTGGGTACCTCTATTCGGAATGGGATTTAGAAAAATAACTGGACAACTTTATTTACCGACTGTTGATAAAAGAAGTCCAGGCACGCGTTAAGTTGATTCAATCAATTACTGAAACTATAAAGCAAGAAAATCTTCTTGCGTCCCACTGTAACAAGATCTTTAAAGAAGAAAAAAATACATAATGTTAAATTATGCATTAATTCGAGCAAATAATTAAACCAAACTGTGTTCATCAAGTTTACATCGTGGACAGACCGAATTCCCACAACACTTAAAACAAAGTATGTACATATAAAATAAGCACATCAGGAACATACTAAATACAGTAGACGCCGCTTAATATGATCACGGTTAATGTTATCAACCGCTTAGTGTGATCAAAATGGCTTGGAACGGGCCCACGCAATACCAATGCATTACAGTTTTTCCGTTTATTGTGATCAATATTTCGCTTATTGTGATCAATCTCCCAATTCTTATACAAGCTTTTTTGAAGAAACGAGACGATTGAAAGTACTATTGTTTTTAATGAACTATTATTGCTCTCAAAAGATACATTCGCTTATACTACTCACTTTATAGAGCCACAATCAGTGACAGACTTTAGTAACCAACGCGTTTTCGTCTTTTGAATGAACGAATTTTTCCTGTTTTAAATTTGAGTAGTACTTATGTAAAAATGAGCACGTCAAAACGACGAGATCTCAGCTTATCAGAGAAAAAAAAATTTCAGCCCGTTTTTTCTAAAATGACCAAAGGAAATCAAGAGTTCCTTTCTCAGAATGATAACCAAAATTAAAAATAAATTCTAATGTTTATGTACCTTCATTTACCAGCATAATGAACACTCTCTTGTTCATGATTTTCATTTGTTTCAAGTTTTCCTGTCTCTGATGGTGGTTTTCGCTTATTGTTATCAGTCGGTTAGTGTGATCAATTTGTCTGAGTCCCAAAGTGATCACATTAAGCGGCGTCCACTGTATGTAGTATTCTAGTATATACGACGACGATGACTCATTGTCCGTGACGGCGGCCGGAGAAGAATCTGGAAGTGGATGTCGCGACGGGTGTTCGAGAATACGCCTAAAACGGTGACGGAGACCTTCGAGAAGGATCGCGGGGCTGTTTAAATGGGAACCAGCGTCGGGAGGAGTTAGTGTACACCAGACAACGAGACCTGAATTCAGTCGAGTCCAACGAGTATCGAGAGAACCCAGTGAAGTTGCGCCGGAATTATTTTGTACATAATCGTGTAAATTCCAGTTAGTTGCGTTCAACGCAACAATATTAATTTAACTGATCACAATTTTCAAATCGTTTGTTCTAAAATCAATCAATCAGTCTAAGATCAGTTTAAATAAAAATGAACTAAGTATTTTAAATCTCGAATGGGAAGTCATGAAGTTGTGACAGGACGGAAATTTCGTTCTTAAATTAATCCTATTACAGAGAGCAAAGTCGCCCTTTCTTTGTTCCAATGTTTTCCAAGAATTTTTTCGAACTCATTGCATGCCAAATATGGATAGAATTCACTGTCTACCGATTGTAGCACTGAGCTCTCCACTGACAATTGAAATCTAGGATGCTAGATTTAAGTGCATGGGGGACTTATCTCTAAATTCTTTCTCACGGACCGAAAGTCATATAAATAGGAAACGGCATTAGGTCTATTCAGTTAGATGAGTCCCACGGAATCAGCCGTTTGATTGGTACGTCTAAAGCCCCGTTTGATTCCGATACCCAACTTCCACCGCCAGTTAAATGTAGTTTCGAGAGCTTCCTCCAGCCCACCGTCGTTACATGGTCGAAAAGCCGCATATAAATATGGGACTGCTTCGAGAGGAGAATGACAAACCACCCAATCGGTGTCTCCTTTTTCGGTTGTATTCAGGTCCTACGTGCCGTACTGGGAGAGTCTGTCCTCTAGGACATTGCCCACGTTTTTACCTCATTCACGCGCTCAATTCAGCGTTCGGACATTCCTCTACCTTTAAGATATGCGTGATACGTTCCTAACACAGGAAACTCCATCCAATAGGAATCCAATTCTTTTCCCAGGGTTCCCTCAAATCATGCGCCGCGACTTAGGAAAGCTTCAAGCTCTACCATGTTTTATACTGTTACGTTTGACGGGCGAATAATTAATCGGGCGTAGATAAAAACTCGACAATTTATTTCTTTAACTGGTATTTACACGACTAACTGCGATTACGCACAAAACAACTTCGCAACTTAAATGCACTCCACTCTTGACTGAATAATGAATGAATCATTCCCGACGGTGGCCTCTATTTAAATCCCTATTTCGGTGATCCAGCTCTTTCTCGAATTGGGTATTCGCGACTTCCGCTTCCAGGCTTTTCAAGCGCCGCTTCGAGACTTCTTTTGGGCTCGTCGCGACATCCGCTTGTATCCACGCGACCGATGAGTCAGACTACATGCGAGAAGCAACGCATATATAGCAGAAGACGCATAGGCGTCGTACCGGGGCAGCGTATGGGATAATTTCGTAACACTGCCTCCTCTTTAGTTCTGATCGTCCTGATCGGTGTCCCTGTTGTACTCCATGAGGCGGTCTAAACGGACGATCTTCATTTTCGTCTTCGGCCCTCGTCGAATTCTGGAAACGACATCATTGAATTTCGCCACGACAGTATATGGACCTTCCCAGTCTGGTGACAATTTCGGGCAACGACCTTTCCTTATTCGGGGATTATAAAGCCATACCAAATCCCCTGCCTGGAATCCTACTGAGTTACCCTTAAGGTCGTAGTGTGTTTTCATTCTGTCACTCGCCACCCGGATCTTGTGGCGCACCGTTTCATGAACGCTCAGCAGCTTCTCCTTCAAGCCATCGACGTAGTCTATGACCTCCTTTGGTTCTTCACTCGGAGAGCCAAACAAGATGTCACAAGGGAGACGAAGTTCTTTACCGAAAACTACCCGCGCCGGTGTTTGACCCGTCGTGTCATGGACAGCTGATCGATAAGCCAGTAGGAACATTGGAAGATGTCTATCCCAATCTTTTTGATAATCTGCCACCACTTTCGCAAGATGCTCTTCCATGGTACGATTGAACCGTTCCACCAACCCATCCGACTGCGGGTGCAACGGGGTAGTCCGTGTCTTCCGTATCCCTAGTACTTCAGT